GGTGTTCCCTGGGGTTGTGGTGACCCAAGTGCAGGACGTGGCATTTGGCCTTGTTGAACCTCATACTGTTGTCCTCAACCAATTGACCCAGTCTGTCCAGATCCCTCTGCAGAGCCTTCCTGTCTTGCAGCACATCAACTGTTGAAGTGGAGGGAGTGAGGGAAGGAAAATTATATCCCTTCTGCTGGATTCCAAAGCTCTGTCCTTTTTTACTATCCTGCTTTTGGGCTGTACTGTGACTGAGGTCTTACACTATGAATGGGTAACACATCATTCCTTGGCACTCTCATGTAATGTTCAGAGCTTTTGTGTATGAAGGAAGTCTGCTTTTGAAAAGTTTTGAACACTGCTTGATTTTTCAGTGGTATTTAAGAAAAAAGTCAAATCAACAGGGAGCTTATGACTGGAAGAGACAAGTTTTCTATGTAATTGGAGACAAATATCTTGCCATTTGAAACTTTTTCTTCTTTTTAGTTTAGACAGGATGCAACAAGAAATTTCCTTTAATGACCAGGAGCACATCCAAGACAGGCAGACCTTAACAGGTGTTTGCCACATGCTGTTGTGATGGTTGGGATTAGTTGGGTAACAGTGAGCAAACATCTGTCTTGTATTATTCAGATTTCATTTCAATTCATATCAATGTTCCTATCAGTATGTGACAGTTGATTTGGTTCTCCAAAGTTCAGTGTGAGGGGTGGTGGTAATGTATCCAGTAAATACTCTCTTTATTCAGGGATACAATTTCTTCCCAACAGTGATGACAGGACTTCCCAGGCCATCTGAACACAAACAAAGGGAAACTTTACCAATCAGAATGTGTGAGCGTTTTTTCCTAAAGATTTTTTTGTTCTAGCTATACAAAGAAAACAGATCTACAAAATGTATCTTACCCAAAAGAAAAGTTTACCATAGTCTACTCCAATGGGAAATTAAAATATCAGGAAACAATTTTATTTTCTAATGTTTTGCCAGTTGTAGAACAGAGTCCAATAAGTAGAAGAGACCTGACCTGTTTGGTTGTTTCCTCTCTTGTGGTCAAATTTCTCTTGCTAGTCCTCTCACAGTCCTCTTTTAGGCTATTTGTTTTTCCCTACATACCAACTGGCAAAGAGAAATCCAGGCAAGGAAAATATGTAGGAGACATTTCCTAATATCTCATTGGCCTTTAGAAAGGAAAAAACAGTTGAGTTTAGAAACAGTGTCAATCTGCGATTTATGTGGTGAAGAATAGTGTGATGCAGGAAAGGTAATTAACCCTGAGGGAATTTTTCTTCAAGACATAGCTCCATCTTTTTCTTCTCTGGTTCTTTCCATGGCTTATTTCTGTTCTCTTCGGGGAACTGCTCTGGACTCTACTCTTCAATATGTGTTCAGAAAACAAGTAGGTTGGCTGTTGAGCTTATGTTTATTCAGGGTTTTTTGTTTGTTTGGTTGATTGGGTTTTTTTTGGTCCAGAATGTAAGTCAAAATTTTAAAATAAACTTTTTGTTCTGGATTAAGATACAAGAGTGAAATCTAAAAAGCATACAAAGTCAGTCATAAAAAAATTACTGTTATCAGTCAAAATACTTCTGTAGTTTTAGAGTATTTTGTTCCATTTTGTCTTTCCATCCAACCACAATCAAAGTCAACCAAATCTTTTTAAACAACTGGAAGAAGTCTCTGTAGCACAAACCTAGCTTACTGGGGAGAATTTATCTTCCCTAATATCCACTGAGATGACAACATGACAAGTTGCAACCTGTTCAGAAGACTTCTGCAGGGTATAAACAGTAACTTCTTGATAAAGATAATGGATTGGCCAACCAAAGGAGAGGCACAGTTGGATCTCCTATTTAACAACAGGGAATGTGTTGGGAACGTGATAATCAGTGTCAGTCTTTGCTGTACCAATCAGAAACTACTGGAGGTAAAGACCCTGAAGGGAGTAAGGAAAGTAAGTAGCAGACTTAAACTCATTAAGACTAGTAGGTGGAATCCCATGAGACAGCTCTGAAGGGCAAAGAAGATAAGAAAATCTTGCAGATCTTCAAGGACAGAGTCATCCAATCGTATTTTTTCTTATACTTGGGGGAAAAAACCAGGAGCAAAATGCAAAGTTGTTCATTGCCAGTCATACCTGGGAAGGTTCTTACCATTAGCAACAATAGTCCAGGCTGGGTACTGGCTGCCTGGGCAGCAGTATATTGGGTAAGTCCCCAAGGCTTTGGGAGAGACAGAGGGCTGCACAGGAGTGGGTAGCCTGTGGGAGTGGCATCATCCAGTGCTGTATGAGCAAGATCACAGCCAGAAGATAGAGGGAAGAGATTATTCTTCTCAGTTTGGTATGTCTTGGATCTACACCGTCACTGACACTGCATCCTCTGATTTGGTTTCCGCAGTCCGAGGTAGACATTGTCAAATGGGAGTGAACCCAGCAGAGGGCCAACGGGATCCTCACAGACTTGTCTGTGAGGGAAGCATGAGATGTAGGGCCACTTCAGCCTGAAGATAGTTCAGAGCAGCCTTCCCATACTTTTAGTCGGGTTACTGGGGACAGAAGGCCAGGACCTCTGCAGCAGGGTTTAGCAGCAGGAAAGGAGACAACAGGCACAAGTTGAAACAAGAGAAGCTCAGACAATACATATAGGGAAATGTTTTTTTACATGGGAACAGACCAGGGTAGAGCAGGCTGCCCAGAGAGGTTGTATGGTCTTGTGTCCTTTGTGATTTTTTAAGACCAGGCCTCATCAGTGATGCTGCTTTGAGCTAGTGGTTGCGCTGGGGATCTCCTAATGTTCTTTTCAACCTGCCTGTGATTCTATGACTTTTCTGCTCACAGGTATCAGAACAGAGAAATTGTTCTCTGTCTTGAACAGAGAAACTACAATTTTAAAAGAAAATATCAAAAGAAGATTTTTCAACATTTATTATTTTTTCCTACCATTTTTTTTTTTTTTAGGTGAGTGTGATCTCTGTTTTCAAAGGATTGGTGTTCTCAAAGACAAAATATTTTTTTTAAGTATAACTAACCACCTTTACTTTGTCAATTGCATTTCACCCTTCACCTTATGCAAAATTAAGGGAAAAGTTCAGGATGATATTGGGTCAGTTTGAAGGAAAGATTCTTTGACTTAGGTAAAAGATTTTTGTGCCACGTGCTGTGGCATTTCTCCTGCCCTTGCTTTGCTGAAGCCTAAACTTGTTAGCCCATCGGTCAGGCTGAGTTTTTAGCATCACTTTGTCGTACAGTGGAAGTGATTGAAAACTAATGGGAGTTCTATTTATTGGTAGATTCTTGTTCTACTCTGATTTTTTAATATCAGATCATGATTTAAATTGTCTGTGCATTTAAACAGATGAGTCATCTGCAAATGCTCTCCTAGCTGTTGAACCCTGGGGACTGAGAAAAAGTAATTTTTCTCTGAATAATTTTTACAGAAATTTAGTGTGTTTTTTTATACTTTGGTATTTAGCACATATTATCTTATTTGAAATATCAATAAAATTAATTCACAACATCTCTTTTGTGGATATTGTCAGCTGAAGAAATCTTAGGTCCAGCAAGATATTTTCAGTTTTTTTTCCAGAACCAGTCATAAGCAAGTTGTAAATGTTATTCATGAAATAAGTAGTTGTAGTGATTAGATTATGGTTACAGCCATGTGCTTTCCTTCTGTGTCCAGGACTTTGGAATAAAGATATATAACAAAGGACTCAAACTACAGTCGATGACATAGCACTTATTGCAAATTATTTTGTAAAAAATCAGAGTGTTTGGAAATGATCTATCCTTATGAGCTGTCATAGTTCCAACTCATGAGGTTGAAATGCCCTCCCCCATGTCAGCTACTGGGTTATAAGGGATAAATCTTTGATAACAGAACAGTCAACAAGAAACATGCATCATAGGCTTTCATACCAGATCTGCATGGACTTAGTCAGTTGCTTTGATTTGAAATTTTTTTTCCTGTTAAAGGTTAGTAAGAATTTCGCTATTTATTTGGGAACCTGACAATGACAATAATGAATGATTTGTGGAAATGAGCAGTAGCGTCCATGCATAAATATTTTCAAATACTTGACAAAATTGTAAACCTTCTTCAGGAAAATATTTGGCCAATGGAGTTATATAGAGCCTACAGCACACAGACATAGACCGAGAACAGATTGCTAAAACAAACCTGTATTCAGCTGCAGAGATGTCAGAACTGCTTAAGATTTAAATAAGTCAATGAATCAATAATTCTGGATTGCAGTTTTGATTCCATTCATTGCTGAACCTTCGTGATAGGAAAGTAAGGCACAGTGAAATTAGTATTTAAACCTTCCATGCCATCAGCATGAGTCACATAATCTGCATGAAACTCATCATATCATAGAAAAACTAAAATACTTTATAATCTAAATAAATCAAACAGAAATTACTTAAAAGAACCATTTATTTCTAGATATTTTGAAGGTCTTAAAATTTTCAGGAATTCCCTTTAAAAATTTGAGGCAGTATTATTTCTCTATCATCTTCTTATTTTCTCACATTAGTCTTAAAATTTCACATGTATTCCTTAAAATACAATCTTCTTATTGAAATCTTCATGTGCTAATGATATGGAAATTTAGTTCAGTCTTTGTTTTTTTGTTAATGATGCTAAATCACTGGGTTCAAACTGCACTCCATCATCAATCATATGTATTGCATTTCTGGAACTGGCATTATTTACCACTGGTACTTTTTTGACATGATATTTTTGAATTGATACTATACAAATGTAGACAGCTTAATAATGGTAACTAGGTGGTGCCTTAAATTACATATTTTTTCTAGTAGGATAGTGTATATATATACCTTAAAATTCTGCTTTATTATGATACCAAGAAAAAAGAAAACAGCCAAACAAGCACTGGGATATAGCCTTCTGGATGGCCAGACTGCTAATACAGTGAAACTACATGTGAATCTTCCATTTGTATGCCTTTAACATTCTTCTTTCTTTTTCTTCTCTTATCTCACGCTGCAGGGACAGGGATTATTTTCTTGTTTGGGGACTGTACAGTTCCCAGGAAAACAGGGTTTTGGTCCAGGACTGGGACTCCTAAATGTTAAGGTAATAAAAATTAAAATAGATGTTTGTAATTAGAGAAACGGTGTAGTGTTTTTGAGACAAATATATTTGGATCACATGTTCGTGTCTTTGTTCCAAACAAATTGTACATATAAATAAATATTAATTCCACTAAAGTCTACTGTGTATATAAAGAGTCATCCCATTCAAATCCATTAATTTAAGTGTAAAATATTTTATTTATATATTCCTTTTTTGGTGTACACCTAAAATACTGAGTGTATTCTATAGCACAAAAAAATCAGGAAAAAAACCCCCAAATTTTAAATTGGATCAAATGCTGTAAATCAGACTAATTTGGAAGAATTAGCAAATAGTTCCACTAACATGTATTGTTTAGAGCAATCAGTCTCTGCAGTCTCCTTTGCCTGACATAGAAACATGCCAGCTATCATTTTTGATTGAAATCTCATGATAAAACAGTTGTGATGAGCCATCTTGCTTCAGAAAACATATGGACAATGATTTTATGTTGATTAATGATGATTGTTTTCTATGTTTGAGTTCACAGGTTATTGATTTTTGGCTTTAATCTCAAAACAGACAACAGTTTTGAAGGAATTATTTTAATTTCTTGCCTTTATCATAACCATCTGATTCTCCTAGACATTCAGATTCTGGAGCCTTGCGATTTTTGGTGAAGAAAGAAAAGGACACTTAATCCTGGATATACATACCCAAGAAAATGTCTTGGCTGAATTAATTTGATGCACCAATTTCAAGATCAATTGAAATCTCCTAATTTTAATCAGGAAAAAAAAGTGATATATCTCTCACATTTCACAGGAAAGTCATTCAACAAAGTCAGATGCAACAGTTGTTTTTTATTTTCTTGGTTGGTGTCTTTCACTATCATGTCTGTGTTTTGCAGCAGGGGTCAAAGGCATTCTACTGCATTTGAGTGTTCCAGCTTCCTTGGGCTTCTCATTTGAAAGAAGATACAAAAATATGTCAAGAACTCTTCTGCTCTTGGAAACTTCTGTACTAACAACATGAAGTATTGGAAGTTTCAGAAATCCATTAAAAAACCCCAAAAAACAAACTAGGAGTTGTTCTTCATGATAAAGCAACAGAATAGACAACTGACACTTTTTTCCTTTTACATCAAACACATACAATCATCAGTTTGATGACTGCGCATGACTATCAATTATTTTAATAAATTTCCAGTATTCTCAGTATCTTTGATGTTTTAAACTGTAGTTTTATAACTAGAAGTACCTAGGAGTTCGGCTTCAGCTATGTTGCATGACTTACCTTGGGCTGGATGAAGCTCTGCAGTGTTCTTTTCTGACTTCAGCCACTAAAGGCACTTTGTAGCTTCTGCCAGTTTATGTGGATTACTACTTAACTCCTTATGCTTTAAATCTTTGTTAACCCTAAGACTACCTTGAGGTTTAGACGGAGGCATAACGAGAGTTTTGGGTAGAACAGACTGGAAGGAATGTTTTAAATATAGCATCCATGCACAGTGACTTTCTGTTAGCTATCACACCATGATTACTGAAATCTAAGTCAACATATAACATTAAATTTAGCTCTTGCTTTTTGTTTTTTCTATTTAGTGTCTCTCAGTGTGAGAGATGTGCATTAACAAATTATCTGGGGAAACAACACTCATCTACTGATATCTGGATATCAGTGCAAAACAGTAGCCCATGTAAAGAATTTTGGAGAACAGTTTGACCCTCACTGGTTTAGGTATCAGACAATAAAATAAGTATGGGCTAACCTACCTTCCTTATTCTAAAAAGGTTGTGTAGGACTGAATTTTAGGACTCAGACCATGGTCAAACATACATTATTCCTACTTTCTACTTACTTAAGAAAAACTTTCTTAAGAAAAACAAGGCAGAATTTTCTCTATTAGTAATAATTTCTAGCTTCCTTCAGTCAATGATCTTTATGTCACTTCCAAAGGAGGAAATGGGAAAGTTTACTGATATCTAGTAGTCTAAAAAGGTAGTTTTTCTTTCTGTCTTTTCTGAGTTGTTTTATCCCTGTCTTTCTAAATACTGACAGCTATTTCTGGTAGACGATTTTTTAAAGTAAATACAGTGTTAGTTATGGTTTTAACAGGGTATAGGTCTTTGCTGTCACTTCTGACTTAGGAATGAGGCTACAGAAATACCCGCTTGGCATGGGTTTCCTCTAAATTACCATACAAGAATCTTTTCACTCTCATATAGACTGGACCTGAAATATTAGAATTTAGCTATCTCTGACCTAATATCTGTGTATGGAAATAAGGTGAAAACAACTTTCATTAGTTCCGTTTGTTATCTGAAACTGGAGCATCTTCTTGTACCAAAAACCTAAGAATAGTTGAAGGGCATGCGCAGACTGCTGTCAGACTGGGGAAAATGTGATTCTTCCCTTTTGAATGCAGTCAGGTTTTCATGATTGAAAATCATACATTTGAGGGAAGTGGCAAAGCAGAAATGCACTGAGGATGCCACTGACCCTGGGAGCTGTTAGTGCTGTGATGAGTCACACAGGCACTTGTTTGTCAAAACCTTACATTTGTGTGTACAGATCAGATTAACAGTAATTTTCTAGGCTCTGCTTTCTAAAATGTTTTCCGCTGATTATTGCCTTTGTTTTTTTTCCCCTTAAGTTCGAATTTTAATCAATTTTACCCACTGATGCTGTTGCCAGAATCCCTTTGGAAAGCCAAAGGTTAGAGGGCCAGCATCATAGACAGTCCAACAGACTTCAATGGACTGGAAAAGAAGTAGCTAATAAAATGAATTAAGAAATAGTCTTATCCTGTAACAGAAATAGTGTTTGCAGTGCTAGTGGACATCGCCATTCAGCAAGGTTTGCAACACAACCTCAATTTCACAGTTGATCAGTTTTAAAAGTTGTTTATTGCTGTTCATATTGTTGTTATTCCCTTTTATCTCTAGGTTCAGGTTTTGGATACGTTTTCTTCTGGATACCTTTCAAAGTTAGTAAGCCGAGGGCTTATGGTCCTGAAGAGGTTAGTCATAGCTTGGTCCAACTTCTGAACAATGATTAAGCTTACGATTTCTGAAATGTTTATGTGAACTGCGTCTTGTGTTGTTTATTGCTGTTGTTGACACTAACACATATGGTCCAGATGGCAAAATAAGATCTGCATTTGAGATTATGTGGTATATTGTAAACTCAGCTTTGCAGATGTACTTCTAACTAATCAAAGACAGAGCAATTCCTTCGAGTCACATGTTGGAAAGTTAATAGGGATATTTAATGCAACTCTTCCATTTCCAGCTTGGACAGAGACAAATAACTGGAGGCTTAGTGAGACATTTCTGAAGCTACTAACAAGCCCCTTTCTTTGGAAAACCTTAAGCGTAGCTGAAAGAGAACTCCACCGATTATTTACAAAATAAAATAATAATTGATACCTGATGGTGGGAGTAGACTTAATAAATACTGAGTGTTCTACAAAGTGACCTAAATTAATTCCCTCACAAGAGTCCGATGAAATACAAAAAATATGTGACTACTCCCATGTTGCAGCTGAGGAAAAAGATGTAGATTTTTGTAGAATGGGGACGTGACTAAGCCTGGAATCTTGTCACCACAATTTCCCTCTCACTCTTCAGAGAAAGCTAGATTCTTCTGGGAAGTTTGTCACTTGTTTAGGTGCTGAAATACAAATTTTTCCAAAGACTAGCACCCCCACTGACTTTTAAGAAAACCGTGGTCCGAACCAAGTATTCAGGGATTTGTATTCAAAATATCTCAGAGATGGGATTTTAGCACTTGTTCAGGTGTCTAGACTTGTGAAGAGGTCAATAACTAATTAATTCCAGGTTTGAGGGTGAAAATTGGAATATTTATTGAACACATGCTTTGCAATATAAGGGTCTTGGGGGCAGGACATGTTAATGAAGAGGACGGGTTTTGCTAACTGTGGGATGGAATATGCTGACTAGAGGATTACACAATTTTCTGCTACAGTTACACAGTAACTGTTGATATTTTCCCTTAGCTAGGACCACATGGGGGGAAAAGAACAAAGTGGTTTCTACATGGTCTGATAACATTATCACAAAGTCTTTCATATCTTGCTGAAGGAGACATGGCAATCAACATAGCTAAATATTAATGGGCCTAACTCAGAGTAAGGAGTTTCTCCCAGCTCTTGCTGTCCATGGCCTGCTACATAATCTCCTCAGCTCCTTCTCTGCTGATAGCCGAGCCTCGGATCCCAACAGACCTGTAGTTAGAATTTGGTATCAAATGAGCAAGGGATTTTTAGTAAAAAGACTATCAGAAGGTATTGGCATGACTCAAATATAGTGCTCCCATTCAGCCAAGAAGGCCTGAGGCCAGGAAAGAAAATTTGAGTCTGTCCTTGAGTTGACACTACTTCTCTAATCAGTTCAATCACATTTTCTGTTGGGACTGACTTCCTTGGAATTAGCATTCATTTGCAATTTGATTTTTATTTCCTTTTGAGCTTTGCTTATATGATCACGATAGCATAACTGCTGGGTTAGGAACTGGCTGGAGGGCTGGGCCTGGAGAGTGCTGGTGAACGGTGCTGCATTCAGTTGGCAGCCGGTCACTAGTGGTGTCCCCCAGGGATCAGTGCTGGGCCCAGTTCTATTAATTGTCTTTATTGATGATCTGGATGAGGGGATCGAGTGTACCATTACCAAATTTGCAGATGACACCAAGGTGGGGGGGAGTGTCAATCAGCTGGAAGGCAGGAGGGCTCTGCAGAGGGACCTGGACAAGCTGGAGAGTTGGGCTGATTCCAACAGGATGAGGTTCAAGAAGGCCAAGTGCCAGGTCCTGCACTTTGGCCACAGCGCTACAGGCTGGGCACAGAGTGGCTGGAGAGCATCACTCTCTACAACTCCCTGAAAGGAGGTTGTAGGCAGGTGGACGTTGGTCTCTTCTCCCACGCAACCAGCACTAGGACAAGAGGGTATAGTCTTAAGCTGTGCCAGGGGAGATTTAGGTTGGATATTAGGAAGAAATTCTTTATAGAGAGGGTAGTCAGGCATTGGAATGGGCTGCCCACCGCTGGGAAGCGGTGGATTCTCCATCCTTGGAGGTTTTTAAGATGAGACTGGATGTGGCACTTAGTGCCATGGTCTAGTAACCACAGTGGTGTTGGATCAAGGGTTGGACTTGATGAACTCGGAGGTCCTTTCCAACCCAGCTGATTCTATGATTCTATGATAATAGCACTAATGGCATTGGATAAGAGAACAGCCTTGTGAATGGTAATGAAGTATCATTTCAGCTGGTTCTATAACAATAAAAACAACAGGGACAGCAATAACAGTGTCAGGGTAGTGTTGTGCCTCAGCTAGTAGCATAGGCTTGGAAACTTTCAAGTCAATCTGAATTTATTGTATTTATTGTCACACTTTTATTTGATTTGAAATAGCTCAACCAAGATAGCAGCCTAACTCTAGGAAATAAATAATTTTTAGGGTGAATGAGGTGAGACAGGGATCATTTTTCTCTGAGAAATACAAATGAAGTAGTAAGTAGACTGAATTTCTAGAAAAGTTTAGGATTTGCAGTCTGGACTGGCTGTTATATCAGACTTGAGAGGTTTCATCTCAATTTTTCTGTACTGCTTGTCTTTTGTTCTTATCTTTGTTGGGTATCTGCTGCACTTCCTCTACAGTCAGGTGTCCTGTGCCTGTCCCCCTTTTTTCCACTACTTCTATAGGCAGGGAACTGTTTACAATTCCAATTACACTGAGTTGGATGTTCTACAAATTACGATTTCATTAGTCTCCTCTGTATTTTTATTGTCCTCCTCATTTATCTGCGATAACATCTCATGTGATTTAGCGCGAGAAACATTGCATTCTTTCAACGTAAAATATTTACTCTCTTTAGCTGTACTAAGTGCTTTGCACAGAAGAAACTTTTTCTGTTTTCTACTTATTGTTCAGTTCTCTCTGGGACTTATGTACTTTCAATATCTATGTGTTTTTAATGGGAAAACTTGTCTGCATGCCTTTGTTCTGGTGTACTGTCTTTTTATGATAGCATACAATTTGAGTATTTTTTTTTTTTATAAAACACATTGCTTTTCAATAAATTGCAAATGC